CTCATTGCCTTCTGACAAGTAGCTGGGGATCCCAGGTGACATCTAAAGAACATCACTGTGGCCGCTGGCTTCCTACCTGCACCAAAACTATGAAATTCAGATGAGGTAGCACTCCAGCAACACAGGCCAGCAGCTCTTCAACCATGGGTGACAGCTTCTAAGAAAGGGGTCGAAAAGACTCAAAAGAAGATATGAAATGTTTCCTCCTTCTGCAAAGCTGCTAGCTGCCCTTAAATAATGGTGGCAGCTAATTTTTAGTAAGGTAGAAATGACACCAATTTTCGGTGATCCCTAATAAGTAAGGCAAGGTCTCCATCTTTTTACTAACTTCTACTATATCATCATACCATTTGTGATTTCCAGGTCTTTCCTTGGCTCTTGACTACAGGATTCATGCTGTTACTGAAGAACTTCAAGCTTCCATTTTTAAACAGGGAAGCTTTCTTCTCTTTTGTGGATGCAAATAAAAGCTTGAAAAGAGGCACTCTGAAGCTGCCAGGCCAGAAGAAATTATCACAAGCAAGACACTTCTCAGGTCTCTGACTCGGTAGGCTGACTTAATGATCTGAGGAACACCTGAGTCATCAGCTCTGAATGCTTGGGAATGCTGTGTAACTGTACCCCATCTACACACTGATATCTCGAGTGAGTTAGCTGCCAGTAGGGATTATTCACATGGAAGAATTTGAATTTAAAAACTCTCTAACTGTTCTTTTTCTTAAAAAAAAAAAAAAAGGTTGCATGTGTTTTAGCCCAGAGCTCTTGGTGCATAAAGGACTGCCTGTGATACAGTGATACTTTCTGGAAAGCCATTCCCTAGAAATGTGCACGCCTGAAAGGTGCCAGCAGGCTCTCTAGAGAGATTCAGGGAGATTCAAGTGCAGCTAGAGAGAAGTGAAAACAGAGCAGAAATTTAAGAGCAGCAAAACGTTTCTGTCCCCTTGAGAAAATCAGGAGAGTGCTAAGCTTGTCCAGCTCATCATTCGAAAGGAATGAGGTTCCTGGTAGCACACTGTGGTCACTTCGGCGCTTCCCCAGCAGACATCATGCTCCCAGGCAGCACAGCAGGTTGGGAGCGAGGGAGGGCTGAGCTGCCACTGCGCAACAGGTGTGAATCTGCTGGCCACAGCTCCCTCCATGGCCATTAAATTAAACACACAGTAACCCTCATTGCTGGGACATTGCTAAACAGGCTGGGAAAAACCCAAGTGGCACCCAATCTGGCCACCTCAACCTTGCCCGGTGCAGGATCCTCATCTCAGAACCTGGCTAGGAAGTTGGGTAGAGATAATGCTGCTACTTAATACATGCATCAGTGTGTGGAGATAGAGGCACAGAGCTGTGCTCACACATACAAATCACAGTCAAAGCAAAGCAGGAGCCCGGTGATCCTACCTTCCTCCAGGAGAAACGTAGTGGGCTGATGGATATGGCTAGATGGGGTTGAATTTGTCCTAGTGACAGCACACAGTGTTAGAACACATTGTTTATTTCTTATGTTAATTAGTAGTAATTGAATTACTACTATATTAATGATAACTACTTCATTAGTAGTAATGAATGATAATGTCCAACAAAGAAGACCTTCTGAACTATCAAAGAGCTATGTGACTCAGGGTGAGCCAGGTATCCCCAGTCAGCCCACTGACCTTCCCTTTACAACTTCTACATGGTATTGTCTTCTGCATGGAAGAAGACAGGAAAGCCGGTGGTACTTTCGCATCATACAGCAGGTCCTAGGGACATCTCAGTCAAAACACAAAGACTGTCACCAGGTGATAGTTGCAAAGATCTCAGGCTGTTTAAAAGAGGAACAGGAAGAATCCAACTCTGCCTTGTACTTACCACCACAGACACAGCAGCATCAGTGTTCAGGCAGCATAAGCACTGTGAAAGGCTTCTCGCCCCTCAAGCCTTTCAGCAAGAGTGAAGGGAAGGGAAAGAGAAGTAGGTTTCTCACACTGCAGAGCTCTCCTCAAGATGGTGGCGATCTTCTCAGCCTCCTTGGAAAGGGTCAGTTCATGCCGGAGGTTCCCACCCTAATGACAGCCACTCTGCAAATTATGACAAGCTATGACATTGCTTGTCAAGCTGGTGGCAAAAGGCCTATTTTCTGAATACTCCTATCTTGCAAAACACATGAGGTCTTAGAGGCTTGCAAAGAGATTAGCTGAAGCAGAATCTTAAATCCTGGTGCCCTAGAAAAAGGCTCACTGAAGCATTTGGATCAGAGGTGGCTGGGGAGCAGCAGAGGACAAGGAAGGTGAAAGCAGTGGCGTGGGGCTGGAGTGGCTAGGGGCGAGGAGCAGCAAGTAGATCCCTAATTTCTAGTACACAAAGAGAAAAAAATAATCGAGGAGCTTTCTTTTTCTCTCCTGCTTTTCACTAGCAGGAACTCAGTATTTCTACAAGCCCGAAGTGAAGGCCTGAGGCTGTCCTGTTCCGAGCCCTTCAGTTCCAGTCACAACCCTGCTACTAGTATCCTCCCAGGGGCAACTTCTTGTTCTGAACACCCTCAACAAATGAATCTGGAATTGCAGGTCTGTATTGGCAGGTTTGCAGTGAGAACATGTGCTTTGACTAGAGTTCCACTCATTGGAATTAAGAAGTTCAGGTGACCAAGACAGTTGTTTAAGATTTAAATCAAACACACAAATTCTGCCCCCTAGGAAGCATATAATCACTTAAAACCACTTCTGATACAGTGACCAAGGTATCTTAAGTTTCAGATGGATGCAGCCACAACTGAAATACCTCAGCAAATGCCCACTGAGTTTAGCACTAACAGTCCCACTGAGTTTCTGAGCAGTTTCTGAGATGGAGTCCCATTGACCAGGATATGTTTGTTGTCCAGCTGGAATAATTGCCCTAGAGGCAGAGGTGAAGCGTAAATCACAGGCTGCTGCTACTCATGCCACAAACAGACAGAATAGATGGGGATAGGGTGAGCAAGGCAGTATTTTTTTTGTATCTAAAAAAACCCCCCAAAAATATTTGTTCATTTTTCAAAAGGCAAAAAGAGGAGAAAATGAAAACTGGATTGTGTCTATTTTAGGCACATCAACAAGTTATTCAGATTAGAGAGAAAGCATGTCAAAAATAACTTGAGTGATATGAAAGTGGAGCAATTGCTGTATATCTACAAAAATAAAAGGAGGGTAGGAACCTGGGAAGCTGATTTTGAAATATCAGTGAACATTTCATTTTTGCAACCCTGTCTGATGTGTGCCTGCTTTAAAACATGCTCTGATGGCAAGGACAGCCTATTCTTGCACCCCAAGTGCGTGGAGTCCTTCAAAGGCAATCAGTCAACCTAGTGTAGGTCTGATCATCACACGAGCTCACTTCTGTGCTTTACAGACCAAACATTTAGCAAAAACCTAGCTGTTGTCACCCACTGTGACAGCAGTCTTGCATCTCCTGCTAACAGCAGTCAGATTTATCCAGGTTTTTCACATCTCCCTCTGAAAATGACAGCCCTCATAGTGGGGAGTGAATTTCAGAGGCTGTCTTGCCCTGGCTACTACCTGGATTTCTCAGCTTCCATCATTAGGACATCAAGTTGCAAACAAAGAAATTCCTAAAAAGACAAGACCAGAAAATAAGAGGTTTTGGAAATAGGACAGACTTCAAAACTGTTGCCCATAGAGTAGCAGCTCATGTGTTGTGAGCTACGTTGGAAGCGACATCTATGGGGGAAGTGTGCTCCTACATCACCCAGAAGTGAGGTATAATTGCTAAGTAGCACTCACTTTTTACCCCGAGCAAACAGCAAAATACCCCTGTCATAGCATTAAATAGGACCAGGGACATTATCTCCTCACAAATGTGGATGGAGTAAGGGTACGATGGAGCAGTGTGCAAGAAGCAGGCCTGACGAAGGTGTTTGTCTGCACATCATTTTGGCGCAGGAGACGCCCCACTGTCACACTCCTCTTTGCCATCCTCCAAATATCTTCCCCAGTAGATCAGCATCATCCTGGTGGCAGGGCTGGCCAGCAGCCAGCTGGCTTGCCTCCATGTCCCTGTTGCTGCCAGTCATGGGGCAGCAGTGACACACAGTCAGAGGAGGAGAGGAGGTGAAAGAATGTGCTGCTGCACCAGGAACAGGGAAGCAGTCATCATTCTCCATTTCACTTGTTAGGAGATGCAGCAAAGCTCTGTGAAAAGACCTTCAGGGACAACAGGCAGGTCCCTTCAGGGACAACAGGCAGGTCCCTGAGGCTGGGAAGCCAGCAGCCATGGTGGCATCTGCCCATCATCTCAAGGAGGCCCATGTCTTCTGCCCCAAGGCACCAGTGTAAATCTTGCCCTTATTCTTTAGCGTGACAAGTCTTTAATCGGTAACCAGCAACCTCTGGGACTTGGCAACTGCTGTGTGAGTAAGAAGCTTCTCTGTACTTGGGATTACAGTTGTGAGCAGGAGATCCCAGGGCCAATAGATGTCCTGGCACTCTGTTAGCAGAGAGAGTGCTTCAGAAAAGAGTTTGAATTCCATCAAGCAAATCAAGTTCGTGCCCCAGGCAGTGTGACAGAGTCTCAGGAGTGCTCACCTCCTTTACTGCTGTGGAAATGTGACTTTTCCTCTAGTGGTAGTGATAAGTCTGAAACGATTTTATCCAAGCTCTGTTATCCACTGCCTAATCACTGCGATGCCCAAGTGGTTACAGAGATACCCTTGTTACAAAAGGCAGCCAATATCTTCTATTTTTGCTAAGCCCTAGTAGGACGGAGTGTGCCTTGGCTCTCCGTATAAATGAAGTCTGCCCCTTCCCCAAATCTGCCTGCGTCCTCCCAGCATTGCCAACCTCCACTCCCTCCTGCACTCCCTCGCACTCCCTCTCAGTCACTCTCTCACTCTCAGATGATGCAGAGTGCCAGCAAGTCCCTCAATGCTGTCATATCTGTCCTTTTTATTCATTGCAGGGTTTATTTTTAGCCTGAAACAACTGCTTCCTAAAAATGGAGTTCCTAATGACACGGGAGCTGGACACAGCTATGTAAGGTATCCAGGGCTTGGCCTGACAGCTTCTCCTGTCTGTCTCTTTGTTGTGAGCCCAGGACAGCAAAGTTTGTTGCTTGCCACCAGCCTTGCAGAGCTTGGACTGAACGCTAGGAAGGCAGAAGAAAGAGAAACTCGGTGCAGACTCCCACTGGAGCCCTTGGCCTCCTTCTCTTCCCAAACTGAGAAGGAGAGAGACCTTTGCCAGCGCTGCACTGAAGTCCAAGGGTTCCCCAATGAAGGCAACTTGCTGGATCCTGGCAGGCTTTTGCCTGCTTTTCTGCTGCAAGGCAGAAGAAGGACTGAATTTCCCCACATATGATGGGAAAGACCGAGTGATCGACCTGCACGAGAAGAACTACAAGAATGCCCTGAAGAAGTATGACATGCTTTGTCTGCTCTTCCATGAGCCTGTGAGCTCTGACAGGGTGTCCCAGAAGCAGTTCCAGATGACGGAGATGGTACTGGAGGTAAGCACCACTGCGTGTCTCCCTGCCGGGTCAATGCCACTGCACATCTGGAGTTATGGAGACAGGTCATGGGACAGTCAGGGGCCTGGTGGGAATGGCCAAAGTTTTGAGGCTGCTCGCCTGAGTATGATTTAGACCCTGAGCTCTGTGAAGCACAGGGTAAAGTTTTGTTGTAGTCTTTTGAGTTGTCAGCTGGGAAATAGCCTTTCTGGGTGGTGCACCAGAAAACGGGGAAAAGCAAATAACCGTGCACACCCCAGCAGTATGAATTCAGCTTAGCTGAGCTTTTTCAAATGTCAGCACAGGTCTGAGTGCAGCCTGAAATTGTTAGGTCCCTTCTCCTTCTAGTATATCCTCTTTAGATTCAAGATTCCTTCCAGTTTCCTATTCCATTCAGAGCAAATAGCCAAGTCCCACCAAACTGTGTTGCAAATGGGTGTCCCAGCTCCACATCTCAAAACTCCCTGTTGGTGCAGCATTAAATCCATTTTTTTTTTTCTTCTGACACTTGGTTGCCTGCTTGGAATAAATCTGTAGCTACTTGCTAATACAGCCGTTCATTTCTGTGCTGGAAATAAGCATTGTTAATTCTTTGGTGAAAGAATGATTAATTAATCCTCAGTAAAATAAATCACACTAAAATTTACAAAGTAGATTCATTGCATTCTTTCTTGTAATGTGGCTGTAATCTAAGGACTCTTAGAGCAGTAGACCTTGATGGTTAGTTGTTCATTTCCTCCCAGGGGCTTAGAGATATTCCTTCTTAACTAAAAGACATATTTGGATGGAAAGTGAGAATTGCAGAAGAAATACATAATCTCTATTTTTCAAAGACAAAATGCATTGCATCTCTTTAAGTATAGCAAATGTGATTTAGAAAATATTCTCACTCAGTGAGGGCTAGGACCCACAAAAGTATAGTGCCAAGTTCAAGGTCTACTGACCTCCTCAACAAGGCAAGCAAGAAAGATTCAGACCTGACCAAATTTTATTCACTTGTCAGGAAACAGTTACTTGTTCCAGGTGAGTGATCAAATAACACTTGGCAAAGAAAAAATAACCCTGAAACTCCAGCTGAAAAGTTTATGGCTGGTAGTATAATTGCATTGTTGTTTAATAGGATAGCTATTTTGTGCTTGATAGATGGCAAGCATTTACTAAGTGTGTATTTATAGAAACCTGGCAGAAGCAGGTACCCGTTGTACACTGTCGGTTGTACTCCTCTGGACACCTATCCCCATGTTAGCAGTCAACCATACTGAGCGTGCAATTGCTACAATGCAGCATGTGTTAGAGCTTTTATTTTGCAGGACTTGCTTCAGAGGGTGAATACATTAGCTTAGGGCTCTGGTGGTCTGGTTTCCAATTGCTTCTCTTCCATTGAACTCCGATGTGACCTTGGGCAAGAGATTGAGGATTAGATCTGCAGCAGACTTTACGTAATTGTAGTGCTCTGGTTCACTAATGCTCAGCTACAAGGTGACCATTCTACAGTCCTCAAAACTTCTCCAGCACTTGCAGTGCTGATTCAGTGCATGTTCCCCATTGTCCCCTGGGCTGGGAGTTGCAGCAGCAATCTTACAGTTCCCACACAGCAGAGATCTGCAGACTGGACACTTCTTTGCCACAGACACGCAAGGCTTGTATTGGATCTGAGAAAGCAACAGAGAATGTGCTGCGTAGGACACAAACCAGTAAGGTGCTGGTGCTCTTAATTTCTGTTACTAACTTAACCATTGCAGTGAGCCAGGTTTTAATCTTCTCCGTCTGGTGACAGCACTCAAAACTTCACCTCCCTCACCTCAAGCCACAAATGTTGTGTGGCAAAGATCGCTCTCAATCTGCCCTGCCTGTGGAAGGATGCCTATATGGAGCATCTCATGCTTACTCACTGCATTAAGGATTTATTTTCTGGAGCATCTCATATTTTTTTCACTTTACTTTATTGAGGATTTGCCTGATGACTCACAACAATGTATGCTGCTTCCACTGCCTGGAAAACACCACATCCTTAGCCTTACTTCTATAAAATTGCCCTGATCTCCATCATAAGGAATAATGGCAACTCTTCACACAAGACCTTCAGGCAGGTGTGGAGTTAAGCAAAGATCTGAGCTAACCATCTAAGGGTTATTACTTCCTATTGCCTGATGAACACAGGTATGTGTGTACACAGAAGAAATAGGATTCATGGATGTTAAGTGTGACCTGGTGTAGGGAACCTGCTTTGGCAGGGGGGTTGGACCTCTCTGGAGGTCCCTTCCAACCCCTACAATTCTGTGGTTCTGTGATTAAGTCCTGAAAACCTCCAAAGTGCCCACCTCTCCTCTTTCTCACACACACCTTAGGAGAAATGTATAGTTCCAAAGACCAAAAGCTTGAACAAATATCTTAGGACTAGGAAAAAACATGGAGAGATTCAGTAACAGGTCCCTCCATATTTGCTAGGACAAAATTACAGATGTGCCCAGGTAGAAGATAGTATGGCATATTATCAAAGCAAGCAGAAGTCCCAGTAGCACCTGCTGGTCCCTTCTTCACTTTAGACCCAGTCAGGTTTAGGTCTCAGCAGGTGAAAAAAGACATGACTACAAAACATCCAAGGAGGGCAGGATGAGTCTAGACAACACTCCCAAAATCTAGGAGCAAATTGTCCCTTGGCCATGGTTTCATCCAAATACATTGGTCATAATCATCAACAAGCTTGGACTGGTTCCACTAGTAGCTAGCAGGGCTTGAGCTCATGTGGCAGCACTTCCCTCTTCTAGAGTCTCTTCCCTTCCAAGTCCCTGCCCTGTTTGAAGCTTGCAATGCCTTAATTATGTCAGAGATCTCCCTGGAAAATCTGTCTGAAAATGGCCAAGAGCTTGAAACTTTATTTGTGGAGGCAGCTGACAGACAAAACAGGGCAGAGAGAAGAGAATAGCGAGGATCTCATTTCCTTAGTGAAACGTGCTGAAAACCTGACAGCATAAGTGAAGTTAAGCACATTAGGTCTCGATCCAATTGCAACCACAAACATCAGGGTGAGGAGAAAGTGATATGCTAGGAAAATTCTCCTCCCCATTACAAATGCCCAGTGTGCGGAACTGACCAGCAGAATCTCAGGAATGTTCACCAGGCATCATCAGATAAAGGGATGCTGTGGTTACACTGATATTACAGGATCTCCAACTCCCTCCACCCAGTCCTATTGGGATCTGCCACTGGATTCCCACACAGTCCAGCATGCCCTTCCAATTTGGAAAGGCAATGAAGAAGATCATCAGCTGACCTGGCAGCCCCTACCACCTACTCTGTTGTCTTTTCCAACCACGGCAGTTCTACAGCTCTGAGTTGATGAGTGTGGCTGCTTCACAGCTCATACTAAGGGGTTCTTATGCTCCTTTGCTTCCCTTTCTCCCTCCACTCACCCCAACTCCTGCTGACCAGCTCCTCTAGGTTGTGAGGAAAATCCTCCACTCTAGATGATGACCCAGCAGTCTTGAGGACAGTGGTAGCAGTTCCTATCCCGTGGCAATTTTTCTAAGAGCCCTGCATGCCCTGTGAGGTGAGCACAGAGAAGAAGATCACACACAGCCAGACACAAAGCTTCACAGTGCAGATTTAAGTGCCAAGTAAGACAAAAAGCTACTTGTCCCCGAATCTCTCAGCTTTAATGGAAAAAGGGTGAAAGAGGACAAGAACAAAGCAGGGAAACTTAAAATATCTGTTCTGCTAGTCTTCTTCTTTGTAACTCTCTTATTTCCTCCAATCTCATATCACTGCTTCGCAAACCTCTGCCTTCTCCCTCTCATCTCCAAACCCTTCCCAAATATTGGCAGCGCTCTGCTTTCCAGTGGGCCAGTTTGTCTCTAGGGATTACAAAAATAAAGAGCAGCGGGGTAAGGGATTTTTATTTTGCACAGGAGAAGCTCTCTCCAGCAGCAGAAGCTGTCTTAGTGCAGAGCAGGCTGCCTGCAAAGCAGACATTGCATCTCTCTCCCAGTGTCCAATCAGTAGTACAATCAGTACTACTTGTGCTGTGAGAGGGAAATATAGCTTTTGAGTTCAACAGAAAGCAAGGATTTACTTTCAAGTGTTGACACTTGTAAAGCTCCACTCACAGGCTTTCAGCTGAGAATGGAAAAATCAATTAAGATTTGTCTGGTTTTAGGGCAGTTCCACCCATCTGGTCTTCAAATCATTTTAGTCTGATAGCCCCCGTGAGAGCTCAGAAACATGTCATATGTAGCAAAAAGGCCTTCTCTTCTGATCCAACACAGGAAAAAAGTTTGCAAGTACAGGTGTGTATCAACATTCATAGGAAGCAGTAGCTGAGACATTATCCCCATGTCCAAACAGAGTACGGGAGAGTATAAAACCAAGAGCTTTCTTTAAGCACCCTTATCACTTTGTTTCATAGACTCAGTTTTCAACCTTTTTCTTTGAGAATAGTATGTTCATGAGACACTAGCTCAGTATGACTTCCTTGGCTGGGTAAACATGTTACACATTGAGTGCCACAGAAACTGCCTGGTCCCTGCGACCCTACAGAGCAAGTCTTCAGGGTGAGAGATGGAGCACACCTGGAGACATACCTGAAGAAGCCTACAGCATGAATACCTCATAATACAAGTAATAAAACAGGTTGCCACACTGAGGCAGTGGCTTCCACTGCAGATAAGTTAATGCAAAAGGTTAGAAAGGAAAAGATGTGCACTGCTTCCTTTGGCCTCTGAGATGATGTAAGTACATCTCAGTCCATTAACAGCTCAGAGCATTGATTTCGGCAGCAGCACCAGGAAAATTTCACTCCCTGACATGCCAATCATAAAAGAAGCTACAGCGAGCTCCCCAGGCTGTAGATGGGCACACTGGCACCCAGGCACAAATGGATAATTTGGCCTTTCTGTATAACTAGTGGTAGAAACAATTTCCAAGACTACTTTAATTCTTATCACCTAGTTTCCTTTCCCAGTGCCCCTCCATCCATCTCATCACTGAGGTTGGTCTGGCTG